ACACTACCATCAGAGAAGTTATGTCCTACACAAAATACTTACTGAATAAATTTAACCAGGTAATTACATATAGTATATTATTTTGTTGCAAATACATGCCTACATTGCATTTTGGGGATTAAAAGAAATTTGATCAGGGTTTTCACAAACAACATTATAATTGCTTTGACTTACCTCAAGTTTCATCTGCTCAATAGAAAGTGATGAAACTGCATCAGTAGCTTGTTGCATGATCAGTTCCTGTTCCTTACTAAGTTTGTCTTTCCCATCCAGTCCTCTGTAATCATGAACTACCAGATCAAAACGACCTCCTGGTTTACGCGTTCGACCTTTAAAAGTAAGATTAAAAATGCAATATGAATACAGGCATATTGAGCACAATTATACCAGTACAGTAATCATTACATACCAGCAGAGTAATTAATTTGTTTATTGAACTAGAAGTCAAATGTTGCATCAATTTGGCCCTATTGAAAAGAGAAGAATGAGAGAAACAGGTCAATGACAATTTGAGGAAAATTTGATAAAGGATAATAAAATTATGAACCTTTAAAAAATTGTGATCAATTAACCATAAATTTGGGAACTCTGTGTTTTTTCTTGCTAGCAGCTTCCAATCATTTGTTCTTTCATCAAAAACTAAGAAGGGAGATACTTAGTTTTCTTTAATTTTCTGGGTCACAAACCAGGTATTATACATTTTATTCTTCCAATTGGTTTGGCAGCAGTTATTATTTGCAGTCTTGGAGATTCAGTCTACAGAAGTGCATTTATAATTTTGTCAATACCATAATACAGGATAATTGCTCAGTATTTTTTTTACAGCTAGTAACAACAAGAAATATACCTCTGGCTTGAATACGTGCAACAGCATCAGTGATGTAGTTGTACCTGTAGACAAAGTTGCATGCTGGGATATCAATGCCTTGTTGAATGACCGAGGTTGCTATGAGCAGCTTGTGTACACCATTACGAAAGTTGTCCAGGACATCTGTCTGATGACGTAAGTTCATGCCTTAAAAAAAAAGATATGACATTACATCTTATACTGGTGTGAAAATAAACTTTCCAAATATTTCCATCTAAGGTTCAAACTCTGCAGTATATGGATCAATCATTCAAGCACATAATAATTGTGAGTAATTGTCTTCCTTTAATAGCAGAAACTTAATTTCATACTCAGATCTGCAGTCAAATCCCTTTTCAAGCAGAATGAACATTTAATTGAAAATTTGTTTGCAAGTTTTGGCTAAAGAAAGAAAATATTGACAGTCGATTCGTAGGATAGGCCCTGTGAATACAGTTCTTGAGCTAATGATGATGAAATATATATGAAACCACTACAATAAAGAGCAAGTTCAATAAATCTTCTTTGGGTAAAAGTATATCTTTAGAGCACCTAGAGACATTGTATTATAAGCATTATCATTTATTATTCTTCCTCCACTGGCGTTTAAGATAAACAGCACCGAATGGCCAGGTGTGAAGGTTTTTTTTATAGAACAAGAATGAAAGCTGTCTACATTACTTTCAGCATGGGCTTAGTCATTGAAACCAGAAGCACATATTTGATGGATTTGAAGAATGAAGTGGAGGCAAGGGTAGTAACGTAATGAGATGCAGACTGGGTAAGACAAGGGTTGAGAGAAGGGTGGGGTCTGTAAAGGCCTCTAGGCTGACATTGTCAAGGGCACCTGGTATTTCTACATCTTTTTTTTTATTGGGTAGCAGTCATTACAAAGATGGACCGTAATTTATGCAGGAAACAGCATGCAGGAGACATTAGAGATCGCAGGATAGTAGCTGTGACTCACTGTAAATGGCACACACAACCTTTGATGAGGCAGGTAAGTATATACACACCTGGGTTTCTACAGCCAACTAACACCTCTGGATGAAGATCTTTGAGGGAATCTGTCTCCATGACCCATTTCTGGAGAGCCCATGTAGATGCGATGGTCTGAGTGAAGAGGATAGCCCGGAATGGACCATTATTCTCCTGGGTCCGACATGTCACTATGTCTCTTTCTATCAGGTTCTGTAGCTCATCAAGTGCTGGGTTATTTGGTGATTTAGGACTCATTGAAATTTTCTCCAGTTCTTGTTGCTTTTCTGTTTTGAGTAGAGAATATAGCAGAGTGAAGTTTTTATATTATAGTAGCCCGGTGATATGGAGTAGCTAGGTCAGCATTTTTCAACCTTTTTGAAATCATGGCACCCTCTAAAAAAAAACGGTTTTGTGTCACAAATCCTTACAGAAAATTGATTTTGCATCGTATGGCACTTGTTAAGTGCCATATATGAGCATAGGCTGGTATGGGCACATTTGTTTCTAAATTTTGTAATGAAGAACAGAAAATAAACTTATACCTCGATCTCCACTGCAATCTAAAATTTGCAGTAGCTTTCTTCTTTTACTTTCATAAAATTTTCTCACTCCCTTTATGTCAAAATAATTATCGGAAAGATATTGGCTTGAATGAATTTACTGGTACGCGGTAGGTGTATAACTCAACACATTGAATTTATGAAATCAATTAATGAAAAGATAACACTTCATCTACTATCAAATTCAAGAACTCATGGATTGTTGAATGATAGCTCTCAGACATTCTATTAGAACAAAATGTAAGCTTACCTTGGAATGTTCGAATGAGTATTTTCTCTGTGTTCGTGGTGACAGCTTTACTGCTCTTTTCTTTGATGAACTCTTGGAGACATTGTAAAGCATCCTTGGTCCGAGCTGTTTCATGGATGGCTAGAGCACTGCTGTATTTCTAAAAAAGGTTTAAGAATGGCCTTCAATTTTTTTCTCAGAAAATAATAATAGTAATATTAAAGGTACTATGTCCCTTTTGCAGCCAACCTCAAATTCTGTAGAACTTTGCAGGAATTATGAATATGTCATGTGTCATATGTCATGTGTCATACGTCATGTAATAAATTTCACAGATAGGACATACTATGTCCTATCTGTGAAATTTAAACGTGAACAGTGTCCTCATATTCAAATTATGCAAGGAAACCCGTTTACTTGCTATACTTCACTGTCAGACACTATTGAGTGACTGACTGGCCTTTTTTCTTCTTTGGTACATGAAAAGAGTTGTAAAGGGTACATGAGCATTTGTCTACAGTACATCAATAACCCACTTCTTGTGATGGCCAAGATTAATCTGATTGAATCTTTGCGCAGCATAAAACGTATGACCATTCGGTACAATTATCTGAAAATCAAAACTATTACTTTTGGGCTCTATAGCCCTAAAGTCGATTTGACAACTTATAGTCACTATTTTCCCACTTGAAGACATTTTCAAGCCCCACCTTTTTAGGGAAGTTCTAAATTAGTATTATCTTTGAACTGCAGTGGGAATTTAACTTTTTCATTTTTTTTTTGGCCTGCAAATGGGACATAGTACCTTTAACATTTATGTAGCGCTAAATACAGATGTTTCTAAGAGCTGTACTATGATAACCCCAGCATCAGCCAAACTAATAATTACATAATAGAGTCATTCACAATCCAACATATGCGACAGCTATAGATGCACTACAAGATAAAAATTAATGACATCATAACATGATATTGATGGGTAAAACATGGTAAGAACACTCCCTTAGTTTGTCTAGTGTCTTTGAGAAGCATACCAGGAGCCATGCAAAGTAATATTTGTAGAAACTTGGAAATTTGAATGAAGTGACTACCTTGAGATACTGTGCACAAGTCATTAAACCGAGCTGTAAATCGCTAGATTGAGAATTCTCTGCTATCTCCTTCTTCAGCTTGCACAGAACATGGCTGAAGTTCTCTCTGGAATGGTTACTGGTTCGTAGACTGGAAAGCTTCTCAACCGTAGTGTTGAGAACAGAGCTTCCTATAATAAAATGAATCAAACAAATATAATATTGGCCTCTCCACCATTGTCTACTTGGAAATGTCATAAATATGCAGGATCATCTTCATGTATCAGTGAATATTGTGCATCCACTAAAAGAAATCAGACACTTTACAGACTATGCATCAATAGCAAGTGAATTTGAAAAGTATCTTCTTGGACCTACCTGTGCTTGAGTTGATATACTTGAAGACCTGATACATGAGATCCTGTATTTCTTCTGCAAATGAATCCTCGGTTCTGCTTGTCACTACATGCAATCCTGATAATGAAATGGGTCTTTAGATTATGATCGTGAAGAAAAAATAACCTAAGATTATATATATACTAATTATGTATATCGTATAAGTACCATAGACTCCTTAATAAATAAGATATATATGAAGCTTCACTGCCACGTTGACAATTTAAACCGGTATTATTTCCAAAGCTCAAGTTCGCTTTAAATCTTCATTTAAAATATACGAAATTGAACATGGAGAAATGTTATGATATATTGTGCATATCTCATGTATCTTTTATGTGTATCCATGTATCATACAGTCAGCTAATGAGAAGAGCCTTCTACTGAAACTTGATTTCTTTTGGTGTTCAGTAGGCATCAGTTGGGGATTTCTTTTCTTCTGTTATTGTAATTTGTGTGTGTTCTTTGTTATCGTTATGTTCCTGGAAATGAAAGAAGGTGAAAAAAACATTAAAATAAATTATTCTATGAGAGATTTTCATTTAACAAAACAAAGACGGAGAAGATCATTCTTACCTTCTTCAGGCTTGTTGACAACCTTTTCCAAGCTCTCTTTATGTTTCTTAACGGTAGATAGCTTCACTACGTCCATGTTAGCACACATCTTGAGCATGTATTGAAAGGCATTCTTGTCAGAACGCGCGTTACCTACTCCTAGAGAAGCTGTCATGCCAAGAATCTATACAGAATAATAAAATCAATACAATAATAATAAGCATGATCTTAGCTTAAGAAATACATACAATTTAATCAAAACAATACCACCATATTTCCTGATATTGCAGCAATTATGTGATTCTTCATTTAAACTCTAAATTAAATTTGTCTCTGACTTATCTGCTGCAGGATTAACTTACCTGAGGAAGTGGTTTCTTATTCTTCAGTTTTTGCTCCATGTACTTTGCCATTATAGCATTGTATTGACTCTCTTTCTGAAATGACAAACAAATGATGACCATCATGCAATATAGAATGAAACATGAATATTATTGAGAATCATACTCAATTATTGCATTCTGTATAAGAAAGTTCATCAATAACAAACATTTATTACGTAAGTTTTATATACAAACATTATTTGAAAATGGGGGAGGAAGGGGTGAAATTAAAGCCGGTGTAATAATAATGTGCCTCGGAATAGAATTATCTAGATAGACGACGCTATAGAAATGTCTATTATTATTATTAATAATATTCCTTTAGTATTTTGGAAAACAGCACTTATGATAACATTTACCAAGAAATTTTTTACTTGAGTTTATCTTTTTTTTCCCTCCAAGTAGCAAATGAAATGCTTATATATGGGAAAGGTCAGCCCTATTCTGCTTTCTCTTAGAATCCCTTTGAAATGAATATTGTGTTTACATAGCATAGACTTTATTCCAGTACATGCCAAAAGGAATAATATAGACACAAGTTATGATCTATTAATTAAATATACCATGCACTGTGATTCATATTACTTCTATGGCATTAACCTTCTGGGAATCTGGACCACTCCAAGTATTTTGTGAGAGTTTCTACCACGTGGCAATTTTCTGATTTTATGCTCGTATAGTCACCTTTGTCTCATGGCACTCATCAAAGACGATGATTCCAATTTGGTTGAATGACACCTGTCCCTTGGTCAAGGCATCTACAAGTATCTGTGCTGTTAGTACCACTACATCGTTCTTCCTCAAGACTTGATCCATAGGTAGGCGTTTTATTTGAGGCTGGCCATGATCACCACATATATAGGCCACATCTTTGATGTATTTCTTGAACACTGTACTCTGCTGGTGCACAAGAGGTACCTGTTGCAAAATGATGCATTTTAAATCATTAGTATGCCAGTAATTATATATGTATCCGTTTCTGTACAATTAACAATGGCTTAATCATATGCTGAACTTAATACTATCCCATCTGTATACATAATATTGTCGGATCTCGATCGATCAAGGAATTTTCGGATATGTCCAAATTATAAATTCATATTACAATTATTAATATTTACCCCCCCCCCCCCTCCTGAGAGAACCTGGAGGGGGTGGTAGTATACAAAAGATTATATTCCCAGGAAAATAAACGTGGAAAACAAATTAATTATGCTTCTCCTCCCCCTCCCCCACTTTCTTGGTGTACCCAAAACTGTGTCTTTATGTTAAGCTTAATAGACAGAGAGGCAAAAAAAAGGGGGGAAAGAAAAATAGAAAATACCTTTTTTTCTCACTTTTTTCATATACAAGAGTAATGTCTCTGTCAGTAAGTAGGGAGGAGGAGAAAGGACAGCTAATTGATCTGATTACCTGGTTTACAACAAAGATGACCCTTTTCCCTGGTGATTTCCTGAGGACCTCCTGAGCTACTGCAACAGCTACATACGTCTTCCCTGAACCAGTAGGGGCTACTACACATGTATTATGGCCCTGAAGAGCAGGCTCTGCCAGTTCTACTTGGTAGTCTACAAGTCTCAAGGTTTCCAGATGACCAATAGATACACGGATATCTGGAAATGCCCCAAAATATTCATCACAGAATTAACTGATTATGTACATGTATGTCTTTTAGGTAAAGCATCTCTCTTTCTTTCTGAACCTACAACTTGCAAAACCAAAGATGTCACATGCATTGACTAATATTTCTCTTCATACTTTTGTGAAATAAACAAAAATGTCCATTCACTGGTATTAATGATAAATGAATAAATTCTGTGAACAAGAATAAATCTATGTATAACTATTTTATTTCAAAGCATGTGATGTTTCATGAGCACTCGTAAAAGAATATCTTTTACCGAGGTTTAATTGTTTCTAATGTCCTTTGACAAGACGTTGATCTACATTTGCCACTCTCCACCCAGGGGTTAAATGATTTCTATCCATGATTGGACATGTTTTGGTTCCTCTGTACAAGAATCAAGCTTTCTGTTGGAGACTTTATGATCTTAAAATGACATGAAGACCTATACCACTTACCTGAGAGTCTATCAGCACCGGGTGCTCCTATCATTGGTTGCATGCCAGCTCCTGTTTTATTAACCCATTCTGCAACACCTCCATCTACACTAGGGTCTTACAGATAAGATTGGAGAGTGATCTTTAATGATGACATTGACTGTAAAGTCCTGTTAGAAATTCATAAAACTTACAGTATAGTACCTATGTATACACACAAAATTTATAAGCGCAGGCGATCCCTAAATATAAATGTAAATCACACCATCATAGCTTCTGAAATTTGATCGATTATAATGATTTGGAACTATAAGACGATGATGTAAAAAAAAACTGAAGATGATGATCATGATGATGACAATACAACAAATATAATAATATTAATGATAATAACAATGATAATCTAAGACCAATAATAATAATTTTTCTAAATACAAACAATAATAATAATAATGATAATATGCCATTCTTTTGTACCAAGTATTATGATACGAACCAACAGAAAGTAGGATGATAAAAAATAAAATTATCAAAGTTTCATAATCGTATCGTCTATCTAAGAAATGATATTAATAGTTATAATAACATAATTTCCAAAGCATTTTGGAAGTGAATAGTAGCTCACAATGTCAAATGCACTATACAAGTAAGCAAATAATTACCGTTGGTGAAGGTGTTGGGACAAACTATCACTCCCGAGGCAATCTGGATGTAGCTATCTTAGCTAGATAGCGTATACATTCAGATCGCAGAGGAAGTGATAGTTTCCCATCGCCTGCAACCAAAAGGTGATTATTTGATTTATATTTAACATCGGAAACATTTCAATTCTTCCGTCATTTTAGAGCAACAAGTCATCAATTAACAGCTAGCAAACGATGTACGATACGTACAGTGCATGCAGTACTTACGTACGTATACGCAACGTACTTTCACTAAAGATAGATGTATTATCTACACAGTGTAACGAACTTTCCTTCTCCCAGCAATGATGGGTGAACTATCTTTCATTACGTGATTTACTTTTGACCAATCGTAGAGCGAGATTCTTAGTATGTGGAATATAAATAGAACATTATTTCCCTTAAAGTGTTAACATTTAACAAAAAAAGTATATCTCTGTTTTCTAACCTGGTGTACGATCGACCTTCAGTTGATCAAGATAATCTGTTAAACCAGTACTCCTTGGCTCACTGGGCTCTGGATTCAAATAGAATGAAACATGTTGAATAATATCATAGTAAATTGGAAGTTCAACAGAGCACTGAGTGATGATTAGTCCAATGTAAGCATCTTTCATACATCTGTCAGGAAACTAGAATGACATTTGAACAGTTGAAGTGATTCCTTCTTTTTTAATATTTACATTACTTACTTTATATGTTCCAAAAGCCATGAGAAGGCAAGTATTCGTAACAACCATAACAGCATAATTCGTCGCTGTTTTCACGAAGTGACTGTAGTGAAAAAAAATGCATTCACTTTGCGTTACGATTTTCCTCACTACCGTCACTTCGTGAAAACAAGAACGAATTGTGTTTAATAGAATGAAGAATGCTGGCAATATCTAAATGATTGTCAATAAGTTTAAATTATGATGGATTTTGGTCTAGTTTTCAGTAAAAAGCACCAGAGATTCTATTTCTCGACCGAATTCAATATTTCATTACATATGGATAACTAATGATATTTCATGCTAGTTCTGAAGGAACAATCACAATTCACAAATTGTGGACATTTTCTCAGTAAGAAAACTCTTTAATATGTTAAATATTTTTGAAGAAAGCATATAGAATGTGATTTACTTTCTGATCCTGATCCTGATCCATCAAATTTGCTGTCTTTCTTGACGGGCATGTAGTAATCAGACTTCGACATGGCTGATGAACCCATACTAACTTTATCAGCTAGATCACTCTGGAGGTCCATGTTCTTTGTAATGATTGCTGAACTCTCTGATGGTGTACAGTCCTCGACTGCCCTTAGAATACTCTTCTTGTCAAAATCATCATCACCTGAACAAATTCAAGAAGGTAGAAAATGATACTCCTTTCAACAAATCAAGCCCAACTTAAACGATGGTCTACATGACTGAACAATGTGGTGGCATGGCCCTACAATACAAAGACTTGCAGAAGGAAATGAATTTTAAAACTTAAGATCACTTAATTTCTGAGAAAGGCTTTAGATCATCCAATTTGCTAATAAATTTTCCTTGAGATTTGCTGATATAAAATTAACTTCTTGGATCAACTATTGGTTGTAGTTGTATATACATTTCACATATCAAATTATGTATGTTCCTGTCTACAATGAAGAATCAAGTTTTTTGTTGGTGACTTTATGATCTTAAAGGTAAAGACCAGTAATGGTCATGCGATTGCATTGTGAAAGAAACGTTGTGGAATTGATCAGAAAAGGTTGATCATGTAGCATCTAGCATCTGCAAGGTTCTGGAATCATCAAAATGATAAGAAACTTGGCCCATTCTTCGTAAAGTTACAAGCACTATATACAGAAAGATGTATATGGGACTACCCTATATCTCTCACAGACCATGAGAGAAACAAATTTACCTACTATATGAATTAGTAGGCGGTTCCCCGGCAAATTTTTTATCATCATGTATTAGTCAAAACATATTCTTTCACATGATTGGTAATGAGAGCTTCCATTGCATTTTTTGAAATTGGGGCGTTTCCAATACTGGTCTTTACTTTTAAAATGACATCAAGGCCTATAACATTTACCTGAGAGTCTGTCAGCACCGGGTGCTCCTATCCTTGGTTGCATGCCAGTTCCTGTTTTATTGACGCATCCTGCAACACCTCCACCTACAATACGATCTTAGAGATAAGATTGGAGTGTTACCTCGATGATGACATTGACTGGTCGCGGATACAGGAATTTTTGAAAGGAAGGGGGGGGGGGGCAATATGAAAGACGGACAGAAGCGGTGCGTTTCGCGTGGACATGGGGGGTGGGGGGGGAATTTTCAAACAATACTTTTGTCAACATATTTATTATATTGGCTTTACATCTGTACCGTCGGAAAAACAGTCAATTTTCAAACTCAATTTTCGCAAAAAAATAGATGAGGGTGGTATGCCAAATTGTGACATGGTAATAAAGCTCTGTCGCCCGACCTGTTGTTTTACACAGAAAACGAGCTGAAAGTAACAGTAAAATAAAACACAATAATAAATCATAATAGAATCGTTATTTGTTTGCTTTACTAGAAAGAACATAGTCTTTGTCATATTATATTAGGTGATCTAGGCAAAATATTTGGTAAATATTTGGTATTTTTAGCAGAATGGAGATTTATGTAAAGAATTACGTGTTTTTCACGTCATTCTCCATAGAACATTTTTTTGCAAATAAAATGAGCACTATTCAGTGATCTAAACGTTTTGATATGTGTCCATTAAAGAGGTAATGCAACATTTTGGCAAGTTCTGGAAATTGGATTGATAGTAATTCTTTAAAATGTTGATATATTTTGATGCCCTTGTGGATGTATAATAAGCATTTAAAAATTTAGCCCATAAAACACGCATTCCAGAAATTGAATAATAACAAATGTACCGGTGCTCCCGGTAAATTGCAAATATTTCAAATAGCGCATAAGGCCATTCCGTGGTAGCTGTGACCATAGAAATTGCAGAATATGCAGTTCTGATATATAACTTCCAAACGGGAAAAACAAATCGGTCGATTGTAGTCAAGAAACATTGTTTTAAAGATAAAATAATAGCAGTCTTGAGAGGGCGCTATACAACATAAAGATTTTATTATTTACAATTTCATCACTTAAGACTCGATTTAAACCGCGACAACGATCATTGAATATTGTGAAATCGCATAGGCCTATGCTTTTAATATGTTCATTTGAACCAAATTCATGATCTCCTACCAAAACTTTGGAATACTTTTAAACCTCTTTAAATTTATAGTGTAGGTAAGAATGGGCAATGTTATTAACATTCATAATTACATGAACATTGATGTATTGAAACACATTGAAACAGAAATATTTTCAAATGCTTCAAGGCTTCTCAAAATCAGTTTCACAAAAATTTTGCAAACTGAATTAACGCCCTCTTTAATATTTCGTTCATTATCATGTACTACTTTCATCTCCCCCCCCCCCCCTTCCCCTCACCCATCGACCCTATCCTGTGATACTAACCTGCTGGTGTCGAGACTTCATTTGTATTTGATGTATCTTTCACATCCAGCCTTACTCTGAGTTTGACTCCAGCGGCTTCCTCCAGTTCTGGAGTAACGAGGAGTTTTGTCAAACCACGCAAGAGTGTACCGTCTGTACAGGCTCGAAGAAAGGCATAATGATCGGGTCCGAGTTTGACACGAACGAAGAAGTGCACCGAGCCGAACCCAACCTTTTGGAGAGAACCGTGACCTTGCTGCTTGAACAGGGATACTAATTCGAGGCACATGTCGTGGTTGTTTTCCCATTTTCCCGGGTTGTGACAATCTGAAAACACTTTCTGAAGGCGCTGCAGAATCCTAGGATCAGCTGTTGTCACTTGTTCATTTATAGGCTCTATGTTAGCATCAACTTCCATCTCTGAAACAGATAGGATTATTTAATTATGACATCGTATTTAACTATGAATATCATAGGAAACAAAGGATCTAGAACAGAAGCTTGTGACTACTCAACGAGCAATGGTAAGAAAGATGTTGCATTTATCTCTGCGAGACAAAATCAACCACAAAGTCATACGCCAGAAAACAAAGGTTAAAGACATCATGGAGAAAGTCAGAGAATCTAAGTGGAGATGGGCTGGGCATGTAGCAAGACTTCAGGACAATAGATGGACAACTCGTTTAACAGAATGGCAACCAAGGATGGGAAAGAAAAGAAGAGGAAGGCAGAAGAGAAGATGGAGAGATGACCTAACATCATACATGGGAACGGCCGCTTGGAAGAGGACAGCTAGAGACAGAAGAGAATGGAAATGTTATGAGGGCTTTTTCCAACGTCTGGATGAACTATAGCCTGACTGATTGATTGATTAATTGATCATAAGAAACAAAAGTTCTAGGCTTGCTTTTCTTGAAGCTTTATTAAGAACATGAATAAAACCTAAAATAAATATTAATACTCTAAAACGTTACTTATTTCTTTTAAGCTTAGGATCGTAATTAATTTCCAAGAGAAACAAATTTCTCAGACTGAGACATTCTTGGATACGTATCAAACAATAAATGGCGCCAAAACTTTACTTTTATAAACTCTAGTTTTTGTAAAGAGAAAGACATATTAGTTTGATATCTTCTTGTTATTATCATTATAAAATCAATTATATTAAAGTGACTCGGTAACATTGTTGAATGTAGATGAAAAAACTGCGAAATATTGTATGAAATGTTACTTATTGCGTCCCTTCTTGCAACCCTCTAACATGCACAAAAAAAAACTAGAAATGCAATCGTGTCAGAACGACGTGCGTGCAATGACGCCATGTTTTTACGTGTCAAACGAAAGAGCATCTTTCGGACTAGTTACGCAGACTATGAAGTAGCATTTAATGTCATGCTTGACCGATTTAAAAAATCCGGATTCTTGATGCTCTGCACTTGGCCACTTAGAATGTGCCTGTAAAATTTCAAGAAAAATAAAGATCGTTCTGGGGTTCAAAAGCGTGAACCTGATTTGCCCCATAGACAATGCGTGTAATGCATGGGCGGAAAACGTACAGGAACTGTATTATGACCAGACTTTAATTGTTTTTTTTTTCTCTCTCTTTATGTCTCTTTATCGGATGTATTTGGTATCAATGGAAAGAAAATGTCATGGTTGTTATTGTAAACAACTCTCTTTTGTTCTATGATAATCCTATCGAAACACGTGATGTAAAATAGATTTATAGGACAAAATGGCGTCTTAAATGGTCCCCTTGACCAATTTTAAAAATCCGGTCTCGAGGTGCCCTGCGTATTGCTACTCGGAATGTCAATGTAAAATTTCAAGGGGAAAAAAAGACGTTTAGGGGGCGAAAAGCAGTCTGAAAAAATGACGTCATAGCCGATACGTGTTATAATTGGGCGGAAACTCGGCAGAATTCGTATAGTGACCCTTGTTCAAATGCGATTTACTCAAAATTTTCTATGTGAACATATACCATACTTGGTATCATTCGAAAGGGCACTTTATTGCGATCAGTTTGACATCATTGTTATCTGCGCGCAATGTACTGCACGCATTAAAGGTGCTATTACGTAATGCATAGCAAATTCATCATTTTTGGCGATAACTTTGTGCTAACGTTATTAAAATTTACTAAACTTGGCAGACAGTTGTCACGTATATGAATACATGTGTCTGCCAAGTTTCATCGACGTACGTATAAAGATCGCCATTTTAGCGCAAGTTGAAGTTATTTCGGAATTTTCTTGAAAACTGCATATTTTTGGAGAGCATTTTTCGCAAAGTCGGTCAGTGTTAGGGTATATCATTTTGTATATGGCTGGGAAGGGCATATGTTTAAGTATCTAAATCCAAAAAAGGGTACGGGTCTGCCAAGCCATAATAGAGATACGGCCACAGAAAGAAAGCCAATTCCCAGAACTTTAGAGGGCGCTATTTATGTTTTTTAAAGCTATTGGAGCGTGAAATTCGGCATGGCTATGTGCAATTATGACATAAAGATACTATGAGGTTTAAATACAAAACGGAATTTATATGAGAAAGTTATGGTAGTTTTTAGATTTTTAGGGGTCCATTTTTCAAGAATTTGAGAGATTTTTGACGGAGTCGGTTTCAGATTTGAATTTTGAGTATGAAGATGGCATTTTGAAGGGCAGGTTATACGTCGCAGATGAAAGAACATTTCTTAGACTATCTAAAGGAATTTGTTAGAAGTTTGTAGGATCTAGGATAGTGGAGATAGGAAGGAAGATAGAAAGGCCTTAAAATGAACCGGAAATGGACAAAATGGCGCCTGGACGGTTATGCGTGAGTGATTTTGAAAATCGAAGAATGTAGTGACCTTGATGAGATGTTAGAGACTATGCCTATGAAATTTGAAAGGAAAAGAACATGAGGAAAGCACCTAACTAGGAATAACAAACACTACGTGCAAAACGAAGGCGATTTCCTGACGATAAGGATAAGGATAAGGATAAGGAAAACCAGGAGAATATTAATGGGGCAGAATGTGAACGAAAACAAGGCAATGACGAAGGTCGTCATTGCAATGAAACCACAAAGATATTTATGGTCTTCTTTAAAGGCGTGATATAATATATAGAGCTAATTCGTTGCTTTCTGACTATTTACATTCGCCTAAAATGTAATCAAATTGTAATAACATAGTTCGGAAAATTAAGAAATCGATCAGATCGGTTTTTCCCAATTGTTATCATTAATAATGGTCTGTTTATCACACTTTCAAATTATCTTTAATTGTACATTTAGCATTGAAGTCACTATCTCACAAGACTCCTATCCCACAAGACAAAGAGACAATTTCCATCTCCCCCCAATCCGGACAGTTTTTGCCCAAAAGACAATCATGTATATCGGTCCCTCTTTTTGGAATGGCTTGGATTCGGGGCACCATCGTTAAATTGCTTTAAACGCAAACTTCGAATTTGTCTATTGAATTATTACTTGTAATATAATTTGTTTTCCCTCCCCACTCTCCACTCCTTTTTTCTTCGATGCTAATCTTAATGGTTAATTAATGTTGCATGTTCCGGTTTTGTAATGTGTATATAAACAAATTACTTTGTGCTATGTTTACTAAATTGCTCGGGTGACTACGCATTTTGACTACGCATTTTATCCGGTTGACTTTGGTTATTGGTGCTAATGTATTATTTTGTATACACATGTCCTTATTTCATTGTATTTTAAATTCTCTCCTCTAAATTACGTCTTTCTCTACTGCTACTGTTTTCATCTACATTACTTATATTTTCCAGGAACCTATATTATACAAGCACTGCTTTTTAATAGGTTCCTCACATTCTACTTAATCTATTGTATGAATTGAGAATCGTTGAGATGTGCTCATTTATTCTACAATTGTATTGTATATTTTTGTAATGTTACATGAACTATGTCTATATTTTCTGTACAATGTGGAACAATAAACTTGAAACTACCTAAGCACCATTTTCTCTCATCTGAACAATGTTATCAAGTCCCTTTAAGCTAATAAAAAACAGAAATTCACTATGAATCTAAATCTTCATCTGAAAGAACGATTGTAAACATGAATTCACCCTTGTAACTGGTAGATCCATCACAGTCCTCTTGATCCTGGATGCTTTCCGATACATGATGATGAATGTCTCCCACGTGGACTGTGTCTGCATTCCCAACATGGAGTGTGTCAACGTGTCTTACAGTTAAGGTCTTTGATTCCTTGTTATACACAAATTTCGGTGATTCTTCTGCTATTAATGAAATTTAAAGTGGTACAAAAAACAGTGTGACAATATTTTTCAAAAACTCCTTTGTATTATAAAAATCTGCTTTTCAGTGAAAATGCTGCTGCACAGTGCCTCATTTTACCAAGCACCGTCAATCATATAACATTTAGCCAATGAAAAACAAAGTATGAACAAGGCACCTGTATGCTCTATTCACTAATGTCTTATTTTGTCAATGCTACCGTTATAGCCGGCCCTAACAATGAGGACTTTTTGGTGGAACAATTTCAATGGATCACGACGTGCATAATGAGCCTAGGCAGTTTTATCTATCAACCATTATACAAAAAAAAAAAGGCAGAAGTGGTTTATTTCTAGGGAAGGAAATGGCATTCTATCATCACACAGGATTGTATGGTTAGCAGTGAGAGATACGACCACATTACAGCAACAAAACAGTTTTTACTATAAACGGGGGGGGGGGGGTCAACCCTTATTTGGATCTTAGTTGTTCCAAGTAGTATACTGATATTTGGTATAGATCAGTCCCTCAAGGAATATGTTATGCTTTCACATGGTCTTAGATCCATCTCAAATGATGACAATAATGACCAATATTCATATAGAACACCCAATCTGCCTTGTAGGTTATATTTTACCACATTTTTCACTAAAAGCAAAGTAACTCATCTAAACTAATGATTTATCTTTTTGGTCAAATGATTTTAATGTTTTGGAATACACAACTGTGGAAATCTATCATATTATTTTGCCTTTAGCATGCAGGCCCCGCAGAACGTTTTTCAAAGTGTGTGTGTGTGTGTGTGTGTGGGAGGGGGGTTAAGTATTTACCACCAGGTAGTACGTATCGAGCAAAGCGAGCGGAGCGTAAATTGGCGTGGGGTCCAGGTGGCGGAGGCAATTAATTACCGTAAGACGAGCATATTTTTATACCTTATTTGTGACACTGGCAGGTCACTATATTTTTGTTCAATTACGTAAATATCGATCTGAAGCAATTTTTCATTCACATGAGTCAAATGCTCAAGATTAGAAAATTTAACGTTAACCCTTTCTTTTCATGAGTACATTTTAAAGGTTAAAAAAAAAGATGTTTAAAATGTAAAACAAGTAAGTACCGATCATCTCTTCCTCTCACATATTTCTAAAATGTATAGCA